TGCAATCATGGCAACGTTCATGTGAAGCACGTGAACGGTTTTACCTTCAAGCCGAGGCCAACGCTGGGGCAGCTGATGCGTACTCCGTTGCAGCATGTATGACCATCCTAAAATCAATGGCCCTGGATTCGAGCTTGTTTTTGAAGGCCATGAACATGTTCACATCACTAGAATGGCGAACCATGTTTATGACCATGGAACCGGAAATGAGGTACCTTTGGATCCTCAGTTTGTGAGAAGCTTGGTCATCCAGCTGTTTGGTATGAGGTTTTTGGAAATGAAGATGCTCGCAGAATTGTTTGGGTGTATGTTTCTTTGTTTTTCGCATTTGTTAAACTTAAATTATATTTGTTTTAATTTGTTTGTTTTTGTAATATTCGGTTTGGACTATGTTGGGTGTTGACCTAACTATCTATATCATGCTGTCTAAGTTCATTGCCTTTAGACTTACCACTATGTTGTCATAATATCTTTTCGCCATGCTTTCTTTGTTGCAATGTCCTCATTAAATTTTTAGTGCTGTACTCATGTTATTACTGATAATACCTTGACTGTTTTACACTTTCCGCTTTAGATGTCATCGTCACGACCCAATGGAAGGCAACCGAACAGTATGTACAAACCGTACAGTGACGATGATGATGATGTGATGGACTTATACATGGTTTGTCAACTAACACGTGACATTCCTACGAGACAACCGCAACGTAATTGTCCATACACTGGTGAGCACTACATAAAATTCTTACTAAGTGGAAATCCTAAATCAATCCGTGAACAATTGCGAATGGAAGTCCCGACATTTGTGGAATTAGTTAAACAGATTGTCCGTAGAAATGTTGTAGACTGGTCGAACATGCGATTGTCACTTGAAGAGTCATTGGCTATGTTTTTATTTATCTGTGGTCAAAGTTCAGGAACAAGAAATGCTGGAGATCGATTTCAGCACTCAAATGAGACAATTCATCGTTATTTTGTACTTATGATGTGGGCGTTGGGAAATCTTGCGCCATTTGTAATCCAACCACCGAACATGGATGTGACCCATCATAAAATTCGAAATGACAGACGGTACTGGCCATGGTTTAAGGTAACAAAACTTAAGTTCATTTGCATTATTTTATATGGCTTATTCAGACTGAAAATTAGATAAATTAATTCAAAGTTATGTCATGTAGGACTGTGTGGGGGCCATAGATGGCACACATGTTGTTGTTGTGGCACCAGAAGGTGACGAAATGCCATATCGAGGTAGAAAAGTGCATACAACTCAAAATGTCATGGCTGCATGTTCATTTGACATGAAGTTTACGTTTGTATACACTGGTTGGGAAGGTAGTGCACACGATTTGCGAATTTTCCTAGAAGCACTTACCACAAATTCTGCTGACTTTCCACACCCACCACCTAGTAAGTGTGTTTGTTTTTAATTTAGAGTTGTCTTTTTTCTCACACCCAAATATGGCATGACATGTTCTTACTGAAAGAGTTTTCTTGTAGACAAGTATTATCTCGTTGACACCGGGTATACACTATAGCGATCCCGGTTCTTTCTCCTTTGGTTGTAGTATCCACACCCACCACCTAGTAAGTGTATTTGTTTTTAATTTAGAGTTTTCCTTTTTCTCACACCCAAATATGGCATGACATGTTCTTACTGAAAGAGTTTTCTTGTAGACAAGTATTATCTCGTTGACGCCGGGTATACACACATACCCGGGTACGTAGCCCCATATCGTGGCCAAAAATACCATTTGCAAGAGTTCAATAGGCGGCGTCGCTACCATGGTCCACAGGAGTTGTTCAACCATAGACATTTCTTCTTTGAGGAATGTTATAGAAAGAACCTTTGGAGTGTTGAAGCAACGGTTTCCATTATTGAGACACATGCCACGGTATGATATGGTACGACAAGGGCCAATCGTTATGGCATGTTGTGTTCTCCACAATTGGATCCGGACGGTGCAAGAGCAGGATGAATTTTTCGATGCAGAAGAATCAAGTGATGAAGATGAAGATGACGTTGAAGACAAAGATGAAGATGAAGATGAAGGTGAAGGTGCAAGTCAAGTTCACGGTGAAGTTGGAGTTCAAAATGTCCACGGAAATGAAGATGGAGTACCAGCTATGCAACAACACAACCATGTGAACATGTCACGTGAACAACTAGTGCAGATGGGACAATGGCGAGATGAGGTTGCAGCATCTATGTGGGAGGCATACAACAATAGGTATATGATAACAAGTAGGTGGATTCTTTTTGGTAATTGGAAAAAATGGAGCACATAATCAAAGTAGGTTAATGTTTCAAACTTCACATTATATTTGTATTTCTTGTATATATTTGAAAATGGGATTGCTAACTCAAAAGCCATATGCAGATGAAGCCAACGCGTGGTGCGACTGCTGCAATCAAATTCACTGTGGTGCTATTCTGATTCTGTCTTCTTTATCTGGGTGATGTTCTGTATCCATGTGTTGAAGTCTGTGTTGTTGTGTTGCTGGCAAATTAGTGAAACAGTGGATAGTTGTGATTAGATTAATTTTAAATTTGCTATGTTGCTGGCAAGTCTGTGTTGCTGTGTTCTGAATCTGTATTTTAAAATTAGATGCTGTAACTGGTGAATCTGTATTTTAAATTTAGATGCAATGGTGAATCTGTATTTTATATTTAGATGCTGTAACTGGAACAGTCCCATCTCTGTGTGTTCTGAATCTGTAACTGGAACAGATGCTTCTCTGTGTATGTTAAATTTGCATTATGCTGCTTTCTGTTTTCTGGTCTGGGAACAGATGCTTCTGTGTGTTCTGAATGTGTGTTTACATATTTAGATCCATTTTTACATGTTTTTACAGAAGGCCTTAATTGGGTGCTTAAATAGATTCTGTTAGTCTTAATTTTAAATTTGCTGTGTTGCTGGCAAGTCTGTGATAGGAGTAGTAGAACGAATCTGCATTGCTTGTCATCTCGTTCAACATTTTAAATGTATCATAAAGATCTAAACACTTTGCATACGTTGAAAGTAAAGTGTTACACACTACTATACCAAAATCAAAACCCACTTTGATAAGGTATGGCTGTATCTGCATGCCTTGATTTAGGGTAACTGGACTTGTGCAGGCACAGAGCAGGGAGCGAACTGTGATATCACCTGGGGTCAATGCCAAATGCCTCATCTGAGAAAAAAATAGCATGGCTCAATGCTTCTAACTCGTAACCAAGTTGTGAAAAGCACGCAATCATTGAACTCCATGAAATGAAATCCTTTTTTTTAATACCAGAAAACACATCCAATGCATCAGCAATTTGACCAAATTTTGTGTACATTGCAATCAAAGCATTTTGTGGAATAAGGTGAGAACCAAATTCTGATTTAATGACATGAACATGAACCTGCCTCCCTAGCTCAATGGAACTCAAACTTGAGCAAGATCTTATTATGCTTCCAAAGGTGAACTGATCTGGCATAAGGCCAGATTTTTGCATTAGAAAATACAGTTTTATTGCATGAATTTCTTGACCATGCTGTGAGTATCCATCAATTTCATTCTGGTCTGTGCTGTTTTGCTTCATTCTCAACAAAAAAGAAAAAAAAAAAGAAAAAAAAAAAAACATGTTTACATAATTGGGGGTGTTTGTATTTTGTGTTCTTGAAAAAACCAACCAAACGGATTTATGAGAATTTGTTTTGAAAAGTGATCCTGAAAAAAGACAACCAAACACACTTCTGAGAATTTTTTTGGGAAAATCTGTTTGGTTTGATTACTCCCAGAAATGTGTTTTCAGAGAAGATTTCAGAAAATTGTTTCTGAAACACAAACCAAACAAGCCCAATGTTGTGGTAAAAGATTGGCTCTATTAGATTTTGGAAAAAAGTGACTTTTTTGTATGGGGTTCAGAGGTTGACAGTTATTCCCGGAAGGTTTTTAATTTTTTGCAGAAAAGAAATTAGTGTTTGACATGAATTGATGTTTTCTTTACCTTCTCTCACAATGATGGCTCCGTTATCTTATGGAGAGCTTGTTTCTAGTGGACAAGATTTTTAGTGTCATGTTCATTGCCATCTCTATGAAATGGCCAGAATTTAGGAATTCATTTGAGTTGCTGTAACATTTTTGTAGTTTTTTTAATTTTTGACGCTGAAACATAGTAGGTGCTTAGGTGGAGTTGAGCCTAAGCTATGGACGTGGCCGTGGACGGATGGGCAGGCGTCCAAGGGGTGGTAGCAATCAGGCATAATGATTGGGGGTTGGTGTGCTTTGCTTTAGCTGAATGTTTGCCATGGCTTAGTGGTTATCATATTTTAAAGTCTAGTTTGGAAGTTCTGAAATTATGGCTTTACGTTCTTCAGGGTTTTTAAGCATTGATTTTGTTCTTTTTGTGAATGTGGGCAAAGCTTGTTTTAAACTCTATTGCTGCTTTTTACGTTAGCCAAAGAGCAAGTAGCCAATTTCTAATTGCTGTCGATTTCACTATTTGCAGTCCAAGTATATACTTCTTGTATTTATTCATATATCTTTATTCATAGGTGTTTTTTCTAAAGCTCATCCCTCTTTTAGTCATGTTCTTTCCATGCTATTTCTTGGTGATGTCATTTTTGTTTATGATGTTGTGAAGTTTTGTAGTGCACTAAACTAGAATTTATTGTGAAAAGGACCAACTTTATGGTATTTGGTGTTAGGCATTGAAGTTCATGTAGTATTTGCTGAGATTGCTCAACCATTGCGTCACTTGACTCATCTGCATTTTTTTTAAGGTCCAATAAAATATCACTTGACTTATCTGCATTTTTTCAAAGGTCCAATAAAATAAGATCACATTTCACTATTTAGCTTGAGGTTTCATGGAAATTTTGGGTTATTACGATTATTTGATGTTTGTTTTGTACTTTGTGCAAACTGATGTGGAAACTAGGTGGAGAGGACAAAGTTACGAGATAAGCATTGCTGATGTGTATTGTGGGCATTATCACTGTTTGTGTTTACACCAAATTCACATTTTTTATGCAAAAGCACACGACTTCGGAAAATACATTCACTGTGTTTGGTTGTGGTTTTTTCAATATAGTTTTTTGAAAATTTTATACAATTTGTTTGGTTATTCTGAAAAATGAATTATGTTTTCAAAAAAATGAACGAGCCCTCTGATTCTTCACGTGATGTTATGTTTTCAAAAAAAATAAATGAGCCATCTTATTCTCTACGATTAGGTAGGCTGTAGTTGAATCTACTTCTGCCTCCTCTTCATAGCCTCTGCCTTGCTCTTTATTACCTTTACCAAACATTTTACCACATCTTCACTTCCGTTGATATGCGAAGGTTGGCAACACCAAAGCAACGACGACGGCCAGCGACGAAGACATTGTTCAGGTGTGGTCACTTTGAGCTCAGGGTGACGAAGATCCAACGAGAAAGAGGTTAGTCGCACTATTTTTGGTGTGATTTTTGGGTTCATTTTGATCTCCATTTCCCCCTTCCATTTTCAAGTGTTCTTCTTCATAAATTTGTAGGAAATGAAATTTTTTTCAACAAATCTATTCTCTACGGTACCAGTTAGACGAAAATGGTACTTGAATCTCGGAACTGAAGTTTTATATATAAACCTAAAACTGGTGTGGTTTGATTCATACACCAAATCCCTAGTTGAATCTGAAAAAAAAAAATTCAGATTATGAATGTTTAGTTCGCTGCTTTGCTTTTGGAAAATGATTTAATCATTTGAAACCGATAGAAATTTCTCTACCTTCGGGTAACTGGTTTTGATTTCAGAATGTATTTTCCACATTTCGGACATAGTAAGCACAGATTTTATGCTTTCCATTTCAGAAATTAGCTTTATCATATTTTGTTCAGTTTGTCATAGTTTCCCCTTTCCCAACTTAGGTTCCAAAATCGGTATTGAATGGTCATCTCTTATATGAAAATGAAGCAGATTTTTACCAGTTTTCACTGTTCTGGTTTGGTGTACATAAATTCAGATTTGAAGTCCTTCTCTTTTTGTTGGTTTTTGTTGTTTTTACTTATTTTGTTATTGTATTGTTGTCATCATTGTTGATGTAGTGACACCATCAGTTTCTTGTGGTCGATTCGATCTCCGTTGTACCAAGATTCGTGAGGAAAGGAGTAAGGTCTTTCAGACCTTGTAATTGTATTAAATGCATTTTTCTTGAACAAGGATATCAAACCATATTGTTAAAGTGCGCTGTGCAGTTCATTTAGGTACACCCCCATTTACTGAAGACGCTTTGAAGACGAAGCAAAAGGCAGCACACACACCAGACTCATTTTCTTTTGCTGAAAACGACGTGGAGGTAAATATTACTTTGCTACATTTCGTAAATGTGTTACATGCAATGTTTACTCATACAAGAATGCATTAAAACATCAGACCTCTATTCCTTGCAATGTTTACTGAAACAAGAATGCATTAAAACCAACTGTCAGTCAAATGGAATTTGTAACTTGCTACTTTCACCATGGTATGTAAGACCTCATCACTTAACATTTACCCATGACACATGAAAAATTATCACAGGTGTCATACATGTATTTCATAGGTGGACAGTGAGGGGTTCGTTGTGGATGCGCAAGAACTGAAGTTGTGGCCAAATAGGATTGAGTTGGCCTTCATCCAACTGATGGTCGAGGAGGTGAAGCAAGACCCCTCATTAACCAAAAAAAACTCTTTTACCACAAGGCATTGGACTCGAATTGACGACGAGCTGTACAGTCAGTTCAGAGTTAGGTACACAGTTAATCGACTAAAACAAAAGTACCACCGCATCAGGCAAGCGTACAATACATTTGTGAAATTGAAAAACCATACGGGGTTCGGTTGGGATGAGCAGAGGAAAACGGTCATGGCCCCGGATGATGTCTGGGATCACTATGTGAAGGTAACAACCACCATCGTAGGATTGACTACAACCTTCATACTGTAGTACATTAACTCGAACAATTCTTATTTACCATATCTTTGGTTTTTTATTTTTGTAGGCACATCCCGGAGCAAAAGTGTTCAGGAAAAAGGGTCTAGACCACATAGACTTGTTAGACGTCCTCTTTGCCAACTCCCAAGCCACTGGTGCACTTGCCCGTGCTTCAACCCAAGGACCCCCAACCTCTGATGAAGAAAGGGATATCCAAAGTGCATTCTTTGGTGTTGGAATCAACTCAAATACCAATTCCATCCCTATTGATGACGACATGGACGGAGATGATGACCCGAAGGTAGGTGGGAGTTTTGACCCGAAGGTAGGTGGGAGTAGTGACAACGATGGTGGGTGAAAGGGTGCACACTTTGATTTCGCACTTGATACATGGACTGCCACAAACCTTGCCAAAAAAGAATTTTTTGCTCGCCAAAACAAAATGGCTGAAGCGAGCCAGGCTGAGAAACCACAAAACTCCATTGCAGCATGTATCCAATGTTTGGCAACAATGGACGAAATCACTCCCGACCAATACGTGAAGGCGCGTGAGAGTTTCCACGATAAAGCAACGAGGAAAATGTTCATGTTGATGCTACCCAACATGCAGCTGCATTGGGTTTGTAAGCTTGCTTATGGATGATGGACTTTGTACTGATGCAATTTCGTTTTGGTCAGCATCCAAGTTGTTGTATGTGAGCGTATGTAGCTAAAACACTAAAAATCGGCGCCTACTTTTTTTTTTATTTTTAATCCGTTTTATTTGTCAACTATGGTTATGTAAGGATGTTATGGACTTTGAAAGGAAGTTATGTACTTGTATAAATTGTCATGCATAATGCGGTGGTATTCTATGTTATGTTGACTTTTGTTCTTTACAAACACCTTTCTGATTGATTTTCTCATTATATCCTTCATGTACCAGTGCATTTTTTTCCTAGCTGGCTGAAAAAGTTGAAGATCCCTTGAACTTTTATTCTGTTGAAAATGTTCAGCTTTTTAATGCCATGTGGTAGTTCCTTAGTTTGCTTGGACATATAAAACAAATCAATGTTTAATTATGTGGTAGTTCCTTAGTTTGCTTGGACCTTATTTTAGGTTCTTTAAGTGTCTAGTGGCTAGCATTTAGCTGCCTGCTCATTGGCTTCTGGTTTTATCAAATACATGTTTTTTATAAGTAAATATTTCTGGTTTGATTAAACATATCATAACTTTACATCGCTGTGAATCACTTGATTATTCTGAAGGTGAACCTTATTGTGAATTCTGTTTTTTATATTTATATATATATATATATATAATTTGTTGTGGCAATGTGCACCTGCACCTTATGAGCAAGTAGTTGCTTGTTTTCTACAAAGTGGGGGGAATTAGTTGCTGCCTGATGGACTTGCTTTTTGATATCATTTTCTGCTATGTCCTATGTGAAGTTATTAATAGTGTTTGAAACTGGAAGTAGTGGCAAACCTGGTTTGGTTTCCCCTAATGTGTGAGTATGCCAACATAGGTTCTTTGATAATAATAATAAGGTTTACTTACCGTTGTACTAAAAATTAATGTTGTGGTAAAAGATTGGCTCTATTAGATTTTGGAAAAAAGTGACTTTCTTGTATGGGGTTCAGAGGTTGACTGTTATTCCCGGAAGGTTTTTAATTTTTTGCAGAAAAGAAATTAGTGTTTGACATGAATTGATGCTCTCTTTACCTTCTCTCACAATGATGGCTCTGTTATCTTATGGAGATCTTGTTTCTAGTGGACAAGATTTTTAGTGCCATGTTCATTGCCATCTCTATGAAATGGCCAGAATTTAGGAATTCATTTGAGTTGCTGTAACATTTTTGTAGTTTTTTTAATTTTTGATGCTGAAACACAGTAGGTGCTTAGGTGGAGTTGAGCCTAAGCTATGGACGTGGCCGTGGACGGATGGGCAGGGGTCCAAGGGGTGGTAGCAATCAGGCATAATGATTGGGGGTTGGTGTGCTTTGCTTTAGCTGAATGTTTGCCATGGCTTAGTGGTTATCATATTTTAAAGTTTGGTTTGGAAGTTTTGAAATTATGGCTTTATGTTCTTCAGGGTTTTTAAGCATTGATTTTGTTCTTTTTGTGAATGTGGGCAAAGCTTGTTTTAAACTCTGTTGCTGCTTTTTACGTTAGCCAAAGAGCAAGTAGCCAATTTCTAATTGCTGTCGATTTCACTATTTGCAGTCCAAGTATATGCTTCTTGTATTTATTCATATATCTTTATTCATAGGTGTTTTTTCTAAAGCTCGTCCCTCTTTTAGTCATGTTCTTTCCATGCTATTTCTTGGTGATGTCATTTTTGTTTATGCTGTTGTGAAGTTTTGTAGTGCACTAAACTAGCATTTATTGTGAAAAGGACCAACTTTATGGTATTTGGTGTTAGGCATTGAAGTTCATGTAGTATTTGCTGAGATTGCTCAACCATTGCGTCACTTGACTCATCTGCATTTTTTTGAAGGTCCAATAAAATATCACTTGACTTATCTGCATTTTTTCAAAGGTCCAATAAAATAAGATCACATTTCACTGTTTAGCTTGAGGTTTCATGGAAATTTTGGGTTATTACGATTATTTGATGTTTGTTTTGTACTTTGTGCAAACTGATGTGGAAACTAGGTGGAGAGGACAAAGTTACGAGATAAGCATTGCTGATGTGTATTGTGGGCATTATCACTGTTTGTGTTTATACCAAATTCACATTTTTTATGCAAAAGCACACGACTTCGGAAAATACATTCACTGTGTTTGGTTGTGGTTTTTTCAATATAGTTTTTTGAAAATTTTATACAATTTGTTTGGTTATTCTGAAAAATGAATTATGTTTTCAAAAAAATGAATGAGCCCTCTGATTCTTCACGTAATGTTATGTTTTCAAAAAAAATAAATGAGCCATCTGATTCTCTACGATTAGGTAGGCTGTAGTTGAATCTACTTCTGCCTCCTCTTCATAGCCTCAGCCTTGCTCTTTATTACCTTTACCAAACATTTTACCACATCTTCACTTCCGTTGATATGCGAAGGTTGACAACACCAAAGCAACAACGACGGCCAGCGACGAAGACATTGTTCAGGCGTGGTCGCTTTGAGCTCAGGGTGATGAAGATCCAACGAGAAAGAGGTTAGTCGCACTATTTTTGGTGTGATTTTTGGGTTCATTTTGATCTCCATTTCCCCCTTCCATTTTCAAGTGTTCTTCTTCATAAATTTGTAGGAAATGAAATTTTTTTCAACAAATCTATTCTCTACGGTACCAGTTAGACGAAAATGGTACTTGAATCTCGGAACTGAAGTTTTATATATAAACCTAAAACTGGTGTGGTTTGATTCATACACCAAATCCCTAGTTGAATCTGAAAAAAAAAAATTTAGATTATGAATGTTTAGTTCGCTACTTTGCTTTTGGAAAATGATTTAATCATTTGAAACCGATAGAAATTTCTCTACCTTCGGGTAACTGGTTTTGATTTCAGAATGTATTTTCCACATTTCGGACATAGTAAGCACAGATTTTATGCTTTCCATTTCGGAAATTAGCTTTATCATATTTTGTTTAGTTCGTCATAGTTTCCCCTTTCCCAACTGTGGTTCCAAAATCGGTATTGAATGGTCATCTCTTACATGAAAATGAAGCAGATTTTTACCAGTTTTCACTATTCTGGTTTGGTGTACATAAATTCAGATTTGAAGTCCTTCTCTTTTTGTTGGTTTTTGTTGTTTTTACTTATTTTGTTATTGTATTGTTGTCATCATTGTTGATGTAGTGACACCATCAGTTTCTTGTGGTCGATTCGATCTCCGCTGTACCAAGATTCGCGAGGAAAGGAGTAAGGTCTTTCAGCCCTTGTAATTGTATTAAATGTATTTTTCTTGAACAAGGATATCAAACCATATTGTTAAAGTGCACTGTGCAGTTCATTTAGATACACCCCCATTTACTGAAGACGCTTTGAAGACGAAGCAAAAGGCAGCACACACACCAGACTCATCTTCTTTTGCTGAAAACGACGTGGAGGTAAATATTACTTTGCTACATTTCGTAAATGTGTTACATGCAATGTTTACTCATACAAGAATGCATGAAAACATTAGACCTCTATTCCTTGCAATGTTTACTGAAACAAGAATGCATTAAAACCAACTGTCAGTCAAATGGAATTTGTAACTTGCTACTTTCACCATGGTATGTAAGACCTCATCACTCAACATTTACCCATGACACATGAAAAATTATCACAGGTGTCATACGTGTATTTCATAAATGGACAGTGAGGGGTTCGTTGTGGATGCGCAAGAACTGAAGTTGTGGCCAAATAGGATTGAGTTGGCCTTCATCCAACTGATGGTCGAGGAGGTGAAGCAAGACCCCTCATTAACCAAAAAAAACTCTTTTACCACAAGGCATTGGACTCGAATTGACGACGAGCTGTACAGTCAGTTCAGAGTTAGGTACACAGTTAACCGACTAAAACAAAAGTACCACCGCATCAGGCAAGCGTACAATACATTTGTGAAATTGAAAAACCATACGGGGTTCGGTTGGGATGAGCAGAGGA